TTAGAATTCGGTGTGGAGAATTAGAATTCGGTGTGGAGATTTACAATTCGGTGTGGAGATTTAGAATTCGGTGTGCAGTTGTGGGCCACCGTAGTTATTTAATGGAAAGCAGTTCATATTTGAGCAACTACTCAACCGTCGCTCAGAAACGATCTAAAATTCTATGAGCCAAGAATCAACCTTAAAAAAAAAATGAAGATGAAAATAAGGAGGGAAAGATTAAGAAGAACACGTTTTTGAGAAACACTTTCTGCCAGTTTTAGCTGTAGAAATGAATTGTAAATAGACTTTCGGACTTTTTGTCAGAAAAAGACATGCAAAAAGCTTTTCCATTTGAATCACATTAAATTGCTCTATGTAACTCGTCATCAACAAAGAATGATTGGAATATAAACAAACTTTGCGGGTACATTTGCAAAAATATGACAGCTGGATCTTTTAAAAGTGTGAAATAACAAAAGGGGCGTGGATTAGTGCGACTTTGTTTTTCATTTGCTCGTTATCGTGAAAAACTTGATTTACGGTAAAATTTTTTACCACTTTGTTTTTCGAGAAGGAGTAGGGAAGGTGGAGAAGTGCTATCTATTCATCGTTGTTTTAAAACTTCGAGTATTTGTAAGGGAAGCTTTGGAAAGATTTTCGTATAACCCCTGAAGTAATTGTCCCAAAGGTAATCTTTCTTTTTCTCTATTGTCGTCTTTATTCGTTAACTATCTACATAATGAAATATGAAGCCGTATAGAAGTCTTGCCCAAACTTTGTTTAAACGATTGTCAATTCTGATGACATATTTTCATACTCTTTTGGTAAGACTTCAGGAACTTGACAAAAGATCTCGTTAAGAACGATAGCATTTCCGGACTTTATCTCAAATATTACCTTCAACTAGTAACGATCACATTACAATGACATTACACATTACGATCACATTGCACATTACAATTTTTTCAACTTTTTCTTCTACGTAAAAATATGATGAAGAGTTTATTTTTAGTTTCCCAAAGGCTTGAACTAAATTTGATCATTTAGAGGAACAAAAGCATCTGAAACTCAAAATTTGATGAGCTGCAACAACAGCTTCAAAGAAGAAAATATTAAACTCGCGGAACAGTCGACAAACTTCGAGATAACCTCGGTTTTGCAGGGTGTGAACTTTTTCTTTCTTTTGTCAGTCATCTTCCCAGACCCATTATTGTTTTGATCTCGCTATCATTTTTTCTGACTTCTATATTCTTAGTCCGTCACTCGTGAACGTAATAGGACACTCTCTACGCATGTCTTCGAGGATCGAACGTCTCTAAGGGCCGGTTTTTTAAACATAGTTTTTTCGCTTTTTTCAAAAACTGTGTCTTTAACGATCCTCAATTTAGCACAACCCTTTTATCTGAAAATTTATTTTTGTGAACAGTATCAAGACCAAAAGCTTACAGTGAAAGGAGATTTTTTTACTCCGAATACTTTCAGAAATAAATGGTTATATTGATTTACCCGACTTAATAACAAAAATTTCCTGAAAACACTCGGCTTCTTATATTTGCAATGTAAACCTAATTAAATTGAATTTATTTTAGTTTATTTGTTTATCAATTTAACATTTTTTACTCTTTTTCTCTAATTTTTCTTGTGAGCCGTTTGTTTTAGTATATATATATATATATAATATAACCACTGCTCGCCTCGATTAGCTAATCTGCTAACTGCAGACATTAAACATTGCTTTCTGTAAATTATGCCATAATTAATTAATAAATCAATAAAAACAAAGTAATAAATTTGATCAAATCAACCAGAGAATCCCCGAGGCCCACTGATTGCGTAAAACCGTGGTTTGAGTTAGACCTCGTGTAAATGACCATCCCATACAACGAATGCAAATATGGCGTCCAATTTGAGTTGTCATTGTTCTGGACTGACTAGCCTCTCACACATGTAATAATCCTTTTGTATTTCCACGTGAAGACGAGGCTAGTCAGTCCAGAACAAGGGCAATTCAAATTAGACGCCATATTTGTATTCGGTGTATAGTCTTCATCAAAAATCCAAAGACACAATTTTTAAAAAATAATCTACAGCTTATCTTTCTTTTACTATCAATGGTTTTGTAGGGGCAAGTTTTATTATGTTATTATTTTGAACACGTTCATTTGTATATCTTGCAGTTTATTTTATACCCTCGCCGATAAGGAAGAGAAGAGAGACGACGAAATCACACAGACAAAATTTGTAGTGTTTAGACATTTCGTTACTGTTATATAGAATTATCTATGCGCTAAGAATCATGGTACTGTAACATGGCGTGCTCGCTGGTGTAGATTAAAGAAACCATTGAGTTTATCTGCACTTTTCTGGGTATTAACAGGCTATCATTACAAAATTTTTTTTCTTCGAGAAAGAAAGTTGAAAGCTAGTTTTAGAGGTAACAACTGTAATTTAGCGCCGCTAATCGTGTTCTAGTACAAATTCGTGAATTTATTTAATGCAAACTCAGAAATTTGTTGTCAAGACAAAACAAAGCGAACAATGTAGGCTAGTCAAGATAAGATAGTCTTGAATTGACAAACATTTGTTAAACATTTTGTATCTAAAAGCCAGCCTTTCTGGTAAATTAATTAGATATCATTTTGTTAAGAAAAACATCGGAAATTTTCCAGATTTTGAAGTTACTTTTTGTCGATAAGATGCGCAGTTGATGATCCCGTCATGGAAACGGCGCAATATAAATCCACAATTTTATTATTTTAAGAGGCATACTTCTTCAATAATTGTCAAAAATTTTGACGGATCTTTGAGACTTAAAATTACATTATTACACTACTTTTTAAGTCCTGTCACATAGTGAGAAGCTTTCCATTAAAATTTTTTTCGATGTTTATTAATTTTTAGGTGTTTAAGTAGTCAGGCTTTATTAATATTCTTGCATGATTAGCTGAGTTTTTGAGACTTTTTGTTTTGAATTTGTGATTTAGATGACATCGATCAGTATTTCTTATCAGCTAAAAGGGTTAGACTTATCTAATTTCTGCTGTTTATATTTTGTAAATCTGCAATTTCCTTGGCAAATTTCTCGACAAAGTTTACTGTAAAAGGTAAAAGTTGGACTTGCACACATGATTTATCCTGTTTGCCAGCTTGTGCTTAGACTTTTGTAAAAATTATCACTTGTTAATAGAGTTGTATCAATAAATAAACTTACAAACAAATACAAGATGTGCCTCCGCTTTATTGTCGTAAATTATTCGTACAACAAGCAAAAAAATTCGCGCTTTTAAAAGGGCCTGGTAACTAGTCAAAATATAGGCTCTCTCTTTTACATTTTTTTTTTTGTGAATGGAGGGTTGCCGAAAGGAAAAAATTCTGCGGATTTGAACAGCGTTTAGCGTTAAAACAAAAAAATATGCTTGACTTTTGATGGGAGAAAATCGATCGCACGATGCAAGATTTTTTTCCTGCCAAAAGACTTAGTATATTTTTTTTA